TGCAAAGAGGTGGAGGTGGTGGTATTGATTTTGGCAGTGGTTGAAGGTGGTGGTAGTGGTGGCGATTTGGGCAGTGGTTCATGGTGTTTGTGGCGGTGTTGTGGTGGTTTCTTTAAAAAACTATTATACACAAAACATTGATTTGAGTTTCAAAGTAAACGTATTTTCTAATTTCATGTTTTCAGAAATAGTTTTCCAAAACAACAAACAGAACGTATTTTCAACAATTTCAAAACAGACACTCAAAATACAAAACACAAAACGAATTCAAAACTCAAAACAGAAAACTGAAACACAAAGAGAACGACACCTAAATGATGTGCTTGTTAAAGTACTCCATCAACTGTTCATGTTTAATTCAAGCATATTTGGCTAAGCCTAGATATTTATATGTAAATTTACTCATAAGTGAACTCTTTAAACTTGGCTCACATGCTCTAATTCTCATTAAAAATAGCGCAAAATGCTCTAATTCTCATTAAAATAGCACAAATCTACCAACCCAACCCAAACTTGATCTACTTGGGTGGATTGGAGATCAAACCGACTATATTGAATTGGGTTTGGATTGGATAAAAGATGGACCCAATCCAAACCACCCCCCATTACTGGAAAAAGTAGGAATCACATCCTAAATAATATACTGGTGAAGTAGTTGTTATCAATACCAACCACTATATCTCTAGTAAGCCCTTGTTTGACAACCATTATTTGAAAATCATTTTTTCTGTATACTCATTTTCAATTACATATTCACACAATAAAATATTTTACACGTAAAATTAAAACTTTTACTTACATTTTAATAACACATTCTTTTAAAAATTAATATTTAAAACATTGTTTTTCTCAAATAATGATCATCAAATAGGGGCTAAACAGCACGATATAGTTTCTTTTCGTGCATATAATCACTTTCAAAACACAAGACTACATTCAAGCGAATTGTTTACTCTCTTCGTATTAAACTTAACTACCAATATGATTCTCAAAGTGTCACGTATTTGCGCGTATGGGGACGAATACAGGATTAGACTATTGAAAATAATAAGTTTGATTATTTTTAGAAGTAAATTAAATTTATTGTGACACTCATTTTGTTATTAACTTCCAATGATGCTCTGTTTACTAAAAGGAAATTGATTTATTTAATCTTATTTATTTTGAAATAAAATAACTTTTAAACACGAGGAAGTATTTTTTTTCATCGAATGGTTATATTACCACCACAATTTTTATTTAACACACCACATTTTAATTGCAGTTAATTTTTTTCAATTTTTGCTCATTAGGACAATTATTTATTTTAAATTTTTTCGTCGAATTCTTATCTTCAACCTTCCGTTAATTAGTACGTCACATCCTTGATAATAATTTATATCTAAATATTTTGTTTTAATGCTTTAAAATAAGGGGAACTTATTTTTTCACACAGTTTATTTATTTATTTTTTTAAAAATGATGAAAAAATAAGTTGTTTTACGTTATTTCAACGTATTTTTTGGACATAAAGCTATTATCAAATACAAAAGTATTAACTAATGAAAAGTTTGAGAATAAGAATGTCACGAAAAATCGTTAAGAACATAAGCATTATAATGAACAAAAGTTAAAAACTTTAAGTACAATTAAAATGTGGTGTAAAAAATAAAAATTGTTGTAAGAATATAATATTTTGATCACAATCAAATCTTGTTATATCATCTGTTGATAAATAAATATATAAATTGTGATGTACATATTGAACAATCGATCAAAATATGATTTATTGGGTATTGTATTTGTTAATTAATTGGTCACACTTTAACTTGCATGACGTGGCAGGAAATCAACCAATGGTTGAGCGAGTACGTATGGTCCCATAACGGCCACGTGATTTGACTAATCTTTTATCCCATAGAATTTTCCTACGCGACGAGGACGATTGACAGCCACATAATACACGAGGGTCAAATATAAAATATGCTCCGATTATCGTACATTAATTAGCTTAAGAGAATCAATTACGCAAGCAACTTCATACTATGCCCATGTTTGATACCTATGATTAAAAGAGTTTTCAAATAATGATTGTCGAACGAAACTAAAACAAATTTTCTTCACGAAACACCGTCCATTTAATCTAATTCTAATAAACTATTCTTCTTGGTCGTTCAATATATAATGACTCTTTTTTTAGCATTACGAAAATCCCCGATAGCAATAAAGGCTTATGGTACCATTGACGCTATCTTAAGCCTCGTTTAAAATTGATTTTAGAGCATTTTTCTTACCAAATGTTAAAGGGTGATTTTGAAATATACAATACTTCCGAAATAAAAATTTATCTAATCTTTTGTTATGATAAAAACTGATTTTTTTTAAAAAAAATTACAGCAATACGAAATCGAACCTTTAAAGAATCAATTTTAATTAATTTTTACTCAAACAAGCTAAAAACACGACCTATAAGCAATAATTGTTATAATTTTACACATTAATGCTTCTTAAATGAAATTAATCGAGTATAGAAAATAGAGACTAGTATTGCATAAGTAAATTTATAATAGAGACTAGTAATGAAAGTAATTTATAATTTTAGTTCTTATAGTACTACGCGATGATTAAAATTCTCAAACACGAAAGAAATAGAGACTAGTATTGCATAAGTTTCATTTAAAAATATAAAATCCGTCCCTTAATAAACAAGTCAAATAATGAATAAAACTAAATTTATATATCAATTTAAATAAAAACTAACTTATTGATATAAAATCAATGTAATAATTATTAAAAAAAGATGAAGAACAATCCATAAAAAAAGAATATTGAAAAATTAGGCCCTTTCATCTAATCAGTCACTGTAAAAACATTGACAACCTTAACACAAAATCAGACGATCAAGATCAAACGCAGTGAAATCTCTCTCTCTCTCTCATAGTGTGTGTGAGAAGATATTTTTTGCCATTTCAGGTAAGTCCCATAAATAATTCCCATCTTTATCTCTATGTGTAAACCCCATCTGCTAGTTTTACAATTAGGGCTCTTCTGTTCCATGGCTCACAAATTTCCTCTACTTTTATTCACCTTTCATTTTACTATCTTGCTCTTTATTGTTCGTTCATTCATTCAATCAATCGCATTATTCACAGTCCAAGTTAGGTAATTTTCTAATCTGTATATGACTTTAAAATTTTCTTGATTTTTCTTGTTAATAGTCTTGCTGTTCATGGTGATTAACTTGTAACTGTTTATTATCTGGGTTTTCCTTTTCAGTGATTTCAGTTTAGTTAGCTTTTGGGAAAAATAAAACTTAACTAAAAATGGAATATAGAACTCCCATTTTATTTTTCCGATCCATTTTCTCCTTTATTGGGTACAAAATATTTTTGCTTAGCTTTTTAATGAATAATCAGATGAAAAGTTTTGGGTTTACAATGTTTGTGTTACTGATTGGTATAAAATAAAGCGAAGTGTACAAACAACATTATCAATATCCAAGCCCGTAATGTAGAAAACGGTTTTTTTTAAATGGATGAATATGATGATATCAAGTAGGAGGTTGTCAACCAATGTTGTACATATAGCATGATTCATTGGTATATTATGAAATTGTATCTGTTATGTTCTTGAAGCCTTGGGCTCGGATGCAAAGTCTTGCGGACTGAACATCTATATTTCAGTTGTTTTTGTCCTAATGCTCCAATTTTTTCCGTACCTTCTCATATTTATATTCTTTCTGCATAGGGAAAGTATGATTCAATTAAAGCCCTTTTGCCAGCGTTTATCTGCATTAATTCGTGAAGTTAAATGCTGTTTCTGGTATCTCGGATACCAGTGGTTTTTTAGGACCTCAAATTGTTTTTTAGAAACATAATGGTTCTTGTTATACATGATTTGAGAATACCATCCCAAACTTCTCTTGTATAATGGCATTATTGTCGCAGAATGTTTTTGGGAAAAACATATTTTCAGTTTAATTTTTGAATAATACGTGGGTTGATGTAGAAAAAATTGGGCTCCAGCCAATGGCAATTGTTTAACTTCTAGGGCAGTGTTGATTTCTAGGATTGCAATGCAAGAGCTAAATTATAGCTGGAGGTTTGTGTAGATTTACACATATCAGATTCTTAAGCTTGAGTCAAATTAAATCAATTTAAGAATGTGGGAATTTACTGGTATAGCGATGGCCATGACGTTGGGGCTTATAGTCTGGTAATGATTAGGGATCCATGGCATTCTTGTGATGTGACAGGGATGTTAACTGATGGTCGTTTTTAATCTAGTGAAGTGTGCAATTCATACGCAGTGTGATAGGCAGTGTTAAGGTTAGATTGTCTCTATAGCTGAACCGAATGATCAACTCATAGACACACAAATTTAGAGAAAGGGAGGGAGAAAGAGATGCTGCTTTTGTGAATTCTGCTGTCTTTTTGTTCTTTTGAAAGTAATCATACTGTATTTTTGAGTTATTTGAAAAAGATTATAATGAACCCTTATTTATTCTCACACATTACACTTTAATGTTTATTGTGGTTTCTTCAATGAAATAGATGTAAATGCATTCAGTTTGATTTGTTATTTCTAGGATAATGTGGATAGGTGAAAAATTGATGAAAGTTATTCTCATGTTAGGTCAAGTAACAATTAATTTGTTGAATGAGATCATTCTAAGTTTAGCTATAATGATTATTGTGGCTCCTTCAGTTTGATTTCTTATTTCTAGTATAATGTAGATATGAAAAAAAAATTGATGATAGTTATTCCCATGTCAGTCAAGTAACAATTAATTTGTTGAATCATTCTGAGTTTAGATATAAATCTCTAGAATTTCATTATTGTTTGTCCTGGGTTGGACTTTGAGTACAATCTGAAGTAAAAATCTACATTGATGTAATCTGCTTTTAACTTCTTAAGCAGTGAAGTATAAATGTACATTATGCAATGTTGTGACGGTGTGAATTTATGTTGCAGTGCAAATAAAACAAATCACTTGATTGAATGAGAATATCTTGAACTGTATGGAGGAAGCAGTGGGTGATGAGGTGGCTGAAGTGGGTGCTGTTGAGGGCCTACACCTCCAAAGTAAAGAGAGCGAGTTTGCATTGAAGCCAGGCAGCTCCAGTGTGTTGCAATCACATGAAATGGTAACACCCGGTGAGGATGATTATAATGAAAACACAAACATTTATTTTTCAGACAGCATTGGTTCTTCTGAACGTGCAAGTGGCAGGCCTCGATTCATGGATGAGGCGGGGGTCATGGTTGAAGAGTTGACTGTGGAAAATTATGATGGAGGAAAGTTGGGTAGAACGCAACCAAAGCAAATGCAAAAACAGTGGCAGCATTTGTACCAGTTAGCAGGCGGATCAGGAATCAGCAGCTTCCATGAACACGCTGGGAACAAAGAAAAGGGTCGAACTAAGCCTGGTGATTGGGAGGACGGAGGTGACACATTCTTTTCTGAGTTTCTAGATCAGAATCAGCAACCAACGGACCATGGTCATAATGCAGCCGTGGATCATGTACTTGGTAATGATGGTAAAGGTACTTTGAGTGATGCATCTGGAGGCATCCGGACAAAGATTTTATCAAAATCTGGATTCTCTGAGTACTTTATAAGAAGTTCGCTGGAAGGCAAGGGAATGAAACATAAAGGCCCCTCTCATAGAGGATCTAGTAATGAACCAGGGGCCCAAGTTCATCCAAAATCTGTCACTGTTGGTTCAGTGGACTCTGCTGCGACATTATGTGTAACTGCAGACATTGTTACGCCTCCTTCAGGTGCTGTTTCTGAACCACAGACTAATCTGAGTTCCAATTCTTTCAGTGATGGAATCAGTTTGAGAGAATGGCTGGAAGCAGGTCGAAATAATGCAAAGAAAGATGAGAGTTTAAATATATTTAGACAGGTTTTGGATATTGTGAATTCTGTTCACTCCCATGGAGTTGCCTTACAAGACTTGAGGCCATCCCACTTCAAGGTATTGGGATCATACAAGGTCGTATACCTTGGATCTTCTTTACCTGCTGGGGTTAAGGAAAATGTCGCATATCAAGACATTAACCAATCAGGTCACAGTAGAAATGAAAAGAGGCCAATGCATCCAAGAATGTTCCCATTGGCCAGCATGAAGAAGCAGAAATTGAGAGAGAACGTGAACTTCAATCGAAGGTGGCCTCAATTTCTGCCTCAATTTCCATCCAGGTCTGGCACTAGATCTGCATCTGAAAATGTTGCCAAAGAATATATTGTCGGGCAACAAGATTCTGGGGATGATTCTGATGAAGACACAAATTCTAAAATCAAATGTAAGAACCAGAGCAAATTCTTCAGCCATGACGTGTCTAATTCATCACAGCCATTGCAGGTTTCTCTAAGGGGTATGCCAGAGGAGAAGTGGTATAGCAGTCCTGAGCTGTTCAGTGAGAGGGGCTGCACTTTTGCATCAAATATCTATAGTCTTGGCGTCCTTCTATTTGAGGTTTGAAAACAACTTTTACTATGATTTCCTTTACTATCTCAGATAATCAATTTATGCTATATGGAAACAAGTACTGGATGTGAGCCATAACAACATAAATCAAAATTCAATTTCATGATGTTGTCATGACATTGATGCTTTGCTGTCTATGTATTGTTTCAAAGATTCAAGAATAATTCATTGCATTGAATTGATTTCCACGAGGATTTTATTCCAGTTCAAATGACTTTTACCTTATAGAAGTTCACGAGTGGATAAACATTGTAAAAGATTTTTCAGACAGGAATATACCGTTTTTGGAAATGTCATCCCAGTTTATTGACCCTTCAATTTCTTTCCCTTGAATGATAGTGGTGTTACTGTTTAAACATTATGGTTTTGTGTAATTGAAAAAAATATTAAATTGAGGATTTTGATGGACAATGAGGTCAGTTTACTGTTTAGAATGAAAAGTTGATATGTGCAGATAATGTGGTTAGAAAGGGGCATTAAGAAGAAATGCTAGGTAGATTCTTTTTTGAGGTCTTGTTTGAATTTTTTGTTGCCCTTGAAGATTTGAGTTATGTGTCTGATACTAATGTGGGTGGTCTCTCTCAGTTACTCGGCTCATTTGATTCGGGAACATCTCGTGCTGCTGCAATGCTTGATTTACACCATAGGATTCTTCCTCCTGCATTCCTTTCGGAATATCCGAAGGAAGCTGGATTCTGTCTCTGGCTACTTCATCCTGAACCTTCATCACGCCCAACAACCAGGTACTTGTGATTTCTGATTTTAGTTTTACTATCAAAATATCTTCTCTTCACAAAAAAAAGAAAAAAAGAAACATGCAACATTTAACTTGATGGAGGAAACCTCTCTCGAAGAACCAAAAACCCCATGGACATGAAAGAATTGAATACAACTTGCATGTAAATTCTCTTTACAAAGATATTAAACAGTTATTGTAAAACTAGTATAGCCCCTGTTTGGCACCCATTTTTTTCTCATTCTCATTTTCATTTTCATTCTTTTTCTTCATTTCAACCACACATTCTATCAATAAAATAATATTACACATAAATCTAAAAATTCTCCTTAATTTTTAACCACACATTCTTCCATCAATCACTATTCAAAAACTCATTTTTCTATTAAAATGGGTGTCAAACACCCCCTAAATATACAAGTTTCTAAAAAAATTCACATAAAATTTCTAGAGTTAATTTAGCTAATACATGGATGGGTGTCAAACACCCCCATAATTTCTAGTCTCTAGAGAGTAAGATGTCAAGTTGCTGACAAATATTTAAAAAATGATGGTTACATAAAGTTTGTTTTTGATACATGTAAGTTTCAACAATGATTTATGTGATCACTGTTATGAAACAGGGAAATTCTACAATCAGAATTTATGAAGGGAATTCAAGACTTATCTGGAGGCGAGTTATTACCATTAATTGACGAAGAAGATGGAGAATCAGAGTTGTTATTGTATTTTCTCCTGTTAGTTAAAGAGCAAAAGCAGAAGGATACGTTCAAGTTAGTGGAACAAATCCAGTACATAGAGGGAGACATCGAAGAGGTTAAGAAAAGGCAGCCTAAGAAGTCACTTATTCAATCTTCCTCATCTCTGGAGCCTTCAACTGTAAGTGGGAACAGCATTACTCGCAGAGGAGATTTAAGTCCAGACTCTCTTTCAAAGATGATCCCAGGACATGACAACGAGAAAAAATTGATGAGCAACATCAGGCAACTCGAAAACCCTTACTTTTCGATGAGATCCAATGTTCAGCTTTCAGATTGTGATGTAGTGACTCGTAAGGATAGAGAACTGTTGAAAAGTCGAGAGAACTGGAGCATTACGGGTAATGATGATAACAAGTACAAGACCTCAGATAGTTTAGGGAGTTTCTTTGATGGATTGTGCAAATATGCTCGCTACAGTAAATTCAGAGTACGGGGGACATTAAGGAATGGAGATTTTAATAATAGTTCCGCAAATGTGATAAGCTCTTTGAGTTTCGACCGGGATGAAGACTATCTGGCTTCGGGAGGGGTGTCAAAGAAGATAAAGATATTTGAATTTCAAGCTCTGTTTAATGATTCTGTTGACATTCATTATCCTGTTATTGAGATGACAAACAAGTCAAAGCTCACTGGCCTTTGCTGGAACAACTATGTCCGGAACTACCTTGCTTCAACTGATTACGATGGCATAGTTAAGGTTTGTATTCTTTGTGTATTGCTCTTCCATTAATTATGGGAATAATAAAGAGTCCTGGCCATGTCGCATGCTAATTGATTGACCCATAGCATGTGGCCAAGCTTACAAAAAAGTAAAAGTTACTTTAACTTCTTGTTTCCAAACATGTTTGGATAATTTATTTTTTTCTTATTTTTAAGTAAAAATGTTACTTATTTACTTAGTAAAATTTTTAAGCTTAGCCAAACATGCTCCTAGAATTCACAATTAAGCAGTTTCCTGATGACACCTATGAACACCAAAAGTCAGTGTATACTCCTTTTGTTACCTGCTTCATCTAATGTGAGGAAGCAAGACATCAACATAGTAACTCTCTCAACAAGTCAGAATGTAGAGAAACATCTCTCATGTACTTAGAAGCAAACTAAGCTTCGAGGGCAAAATTCAAAAGCTTGAGAGCTAGAAATCTTGTAGATTTTGTATTATGTTGAATCTCTCTTTTTACATGACATCAGAGTCAACAAGTAAAGAGCAACGTTTTGCTAATTGACAAAAAGGCAACAGATTAGTGAACCGTAGTATATCATTTTTGAAAAATTGCTAAACGCAAGACTTGCAGCTAAAAGAATGGGGCAGTGAAGAACTTCATGGTGTTTTTTAATACATATGTTGAGTGGTATCATGAAGTCCACTTGAAGGGAGTTGGCTCTATGATTAACTTTCACTGTATGATGCTTATATTTGTACTTTTAAGTTGACAAGAACTTTTGAAAAGGACTCAGGGCATGTTTGGCTAGGCTTTAAAAATAATAATTCTAATTAACTTTTCGTATCTAAAATCAAATTCTTTTTACTGGCAAGTAAAAGAATTTGCTTATTTTAAAAGTAACTCTTATCTAACTTTCAATGAACTCATTTCTCACCTTGACCAATAAATTGTTCTATTTTTTAAAACTTACCTATTTACTAATAAGCAAAATTTTTAAGCTTAGTCAAAAGCTGCCTTAGCCTTCCACATTGTTTTTGACATCAAAACTATGCAAGTGGAGGTCATTGTCCTCGAGGAGCAGTAAGCCTCATGTCTGTCAAGAACTTTTGTGGGTGCCAGGCTGTGAATTGTTTTTAGGATTTATGTCCTTTTCTCTTATATCTGTTCTTCCCAAACTGAATTTTTATGAACTTTTTTGAGTTTATTCAAGTTACTATTTGGCACATGAAGATAAAAAGGTGACATATTTGAGCTTTCGCACATTAAATGGGAAAACATGTTGTGATGAAACTGTGATCATTATTAAATAACAGAATATTTGAAAATCTTTTGAAACATTCTCTAACTACTGGTATTAGAAACTGCCATCTACTCCACTTTTCGATGTATCCAGTTCCCCACCTTGGTTCTTGAAGCCCGAATCCATCACATTCAGAGTTGTCACATTCAGATTTCCCCCGATGCTAGTATATGTGTACATTAATTTTGCATGTGCACGTTCAAATGGTTGTGCAAATTTAGGTTGTCTACTGTGTGATTTTTAAAAACTATACATCCTTGTACATGTCTACCTATTTCAGTTTTCCTCTTGATGTTACTCTGACTTGTGAGCGCTCATATTGATATGCAGTACTTGCTTTACACATGATCTTTTGACAAATTACTTGAAAATACTTGTAGTTATGGGATGCAACAACTGGTCAAAGCTTTTCTCATTTCATAGAGCACAGTGAAAGGGCTTGGTCTGTTGATTTCTCCCATGCGGATCCCATGAAATTAGTCAGTGGAAGTGATGATCGTATGGTGAAACTTTGGAGCATCAATGAGGCATGCTGTTGTCTTTTCTCTTTTATATTTATGTTTCTTATGCAATGTTACAGACTGCTGTGCCACTCTTTCCAAGAGTCCCGTCTTTTGGGTCTCAATTCCTTTTTCTTAAAATTGAATGGTTATCATGTTTGTCTTTATCCATTTGCCATACGTGTGTTTTACTAACAAAACTTACTTTAATGGAAAGCAAGTCTCTACTTGCTTTAATGTTTAAGCACATCCAAATATGCTTATATATATGCTTCAACTGCTTTACCATTGTACGCGTAATATAAAAGGAACAATTCAACTGATTTTTCTCATTTGGTGCAGAAAAACAGTTTATGCACAATTAGGAACAATGCAAATGTCTGCTGTGTGCAGTTCTCAGCTAACTCCAGTCATATGTTGGCTTTTAGCTCATCCGATTATAAGACCTATTGCTACGATATTCGCAATATTTCGACTCCTTGGTGCATATTGGCTGGCCATGGGAAAGCTGTAAGTTATGCAAAATTCTTGGATGCCGAAACTCTTGTTACTGCATCCACTGACAACACTTTGAAGATTTGGGATCTCAATAAAACCAGTTCCCATTGTTTATCAAGAGATGCGTGTATCTCAACACTTAGAGGGCACACAAACGAGAAGGTTTGTAACTCTGCTTCTCACGTTGAATTATCATATTTTTGGAAGAAATGCACCAATGGTCATCTATCTATTTCCCCAGTAACAAGTTAGTCCTTGACCTCTTATTATGGTTACACAAGTAGTCCCAGTGATGGAAAACTGCCAAATCTTCGTTAAATTTATCACACGGCCCTCATGGAAACATGCCTCACTTCAGATTTTAGGCACCAATCCAAGTTGGGAATGAAATCTGAATTCGTAACGTTAGACGAGTGAGAACCATGTGATGATTTAACAGAGTTATGAAACGATTCCATCATTGGAGATTGATTGTGAAACTATAATTAATGGTTGTGTACTGACTTGCTCCTTTTTTAAGGTTGGGAACCAATTTGCCACTTGGGCACTAGGTTGGGGACCAAATGGTGCATTTTCCCTTATTTTTTGATGTAATACCCTGTCCAGTATAACTTTGAGCTCTTGCTCCTGCAGAACTTTGTAGGTTTATCAGTTGCTGATGGATACATTGCATGTGGGTCGGAGACAAATGAGGTTGCCTTCATTTCTAGCTTCTACTTACAATAATTTTGACACAAAAACCAACTTGACTATGACTCAAGATTTTTCAATCGATGATCATAAAATTGGGCCACGTCAATAAGGATCAGTATGTAATGGATACTTTGAGTGCACTCATGCATAACAGAGAACCATTGCATATTGAGGTCAATGTTGTGGAACAAGTGATGTTTGTTTTAATTAAGCAAGGTTTTGGCTTTACTCGAGCTTTTATTTTCTTATTATAACGCATTTGGCCAAGCTTAAAAAAGATACCCTGATAAGTAAGTACGTTTTAAAATATATAATTTTTTTTTATCACTGAGTGGGAAACAAGTTACTTATTTTAAAGTAACTTTTTTATTTAAAATAAGAAAAATGTTTATGTTATATGTTCTAGGGGGCGCTTATGTTGCACCTAACTGAAGAAATCATAAGCAAACCTTATAATATCGAGACCATTTTTTATCTCATTCTGTAGGCTCAGGTTTTATTTACTCAAATTCTATTTCATATAATTTATGAAATATCTTGTTTCCGGATATTCGTCATAAATGAAATGAAAAATATTAATAATTACGAACGATCAGTTTTCTAGTATGTGTGTTTCTTGTGCTCTTTTAAATACCATCCATAATTTTGAATTTTCTGGAGGAGTTCATTATCAAGTTCTCTCTGAAGCCTGCCGATTTCTGGGCCTTTTTCATATTCTGTACTTGTCTACAGGTGTTTGCCTATTACAAATCCCTGCCAATGCCAATTACTTCCCACAAGTTTGGTTCCATCGATCCCATTTCTGGTAAAGAGACTGAAGACGACAATGGACAGTTTGTTTCGATTGTTTGCTGGAGACGGAAATCAAATATGGTGGTTGCTGCCAATTCCACTGGTTGTATAAAACTTTTGCAGATGGTCTAGAAGTAAATGAACCCTTGATCAGCTGTGACATTTGTGGCATGTTTGGGAAGGTGAATTGGACAACACTAGACTGTTTTAAGGGAAAATATAAGTTTGTGAAGATGAGCTCGGGTTCTGTCATCCATCTCTCAATTATCCGTTTTGCCCCGGAATATTAGACCTTTTTGCCTGAAACATCCGCATTTATACTCTGTTACTTTTCGTTGGACAGTTGGAATTAACAGTCACTCAAAAGCGCTTCTGAATGTTGGCTGAAGATTCTTCGACCATGTTGGCATCTGATATTGATACTACTGTAAAGATTCAGAGTGAAACTTCTGGATGTTGGTGAGTTGTGTATTAGTATTTTGCACGAGTCGTTCAAAACTAATACGGTAGAGTTATTTGTACCACCAATTTGAACAAGTGATCGATTGTAACGATTAGATTGTTCATATAATAGGACTGTAGCCGTATATGAGTTCTTCAAGCCATTGAGATAGTCGGCTCTGCAGTATTATTTTAATATTGTATATTCCCATGTATGAAAAAGAGTACAAACTCAGCTTATGGCATACTGTGATTAGCTGCTGTATATGTTCTACTACGTTTTATACATGAAAGATAGAAAGAGAACTTCAAATTACTAGTACAGTCTGATTCTTTTGCATTGTTTTTCTCTGTAAATTTATTTTGTTGAATTCTTGATTCAAATGCATGATATATTTTACTGATATTGATGTGATTTTTCTTGTTATTTCATTGTTAAGCCGCATTATTAGGTTTAATGAGGCATCGAGAAGCGGTGGATGCAAGTAGGCACGTGCACAACCTATTGGTTTGTGTGGAGCCCTATTGTAGTGTGTACTTTTCCCGTTGATCGACCTAGTTTAGGGATGTATCATGTAAGAATATACTGCAAAGCTTGTACATGTACAAGTCATCTTAATATTTTTATCATATATAAATTCCGAATGGGGTGCGGTTGGAGTTTGTAGGGGAACTCGTATCTTTTGTGATCCATTCGACACGTGCAAGTATATTATATCAAATGATTAATGACGACTCGAAACTCAATCTGTAATTTTTTGTATGGAAAATGGAACAATTGATTCATGTTCGAACATGAGTACGTGATATTAATGTGCTTTGGATGATTCATATCTGAAGGTCACTAGGCATTTAAACAAATAGAATCATCTAATTTCTATAGAACTTATCACTAAAATCCTCTTTACCTATATAGTAACGGTATTATATTAGGAAAGTTAGCTGGGGTTTCGTGTAGACAAGGCATAGAGGTTTAAAGAATCTCGTAATCTCCTTTTTTATTATAGGAGAGAAATCTATAACGATAAAAAGGATGTAACTCAATCGAGAGTACTCACTCTAAATTCTGTGGATATTGTTGGAATATAATCCTTCGGGAATGGAGAAGACAATGAAAAAGAAAGAATCAAGAAAGCTAAATATGGTAGAAATGTTCAAACNAAAAAGAAAGAATCAAGAAAGCTAAATATGGTAGAAATGTTCAAACACGAGATCGTTGTTTTCAAACGATATTTGCCCCCTCTAGGATTTAATTGGTGCTTAAAAAGACTCTGGGCAAATAGTTTGTATGATTATCAAGAAAAAGAAAATACTTAAGCACTTGTATTATCTTCAAGTTTTTGAAAAACACTTTGAATGTTTGAATATGTAAATGAATTGGATCTAAAAGCACTAATATGTTTGTAATTGAAATCTATCACCTTTTTATAGATTTCAATTCACCATCCAAGAAATATTGCCACATTAAATTAAAATGTTGAGTATTTTCATGAAAAGTCGACTAGAATCAAATCAGAAAAAATCAAAATAACGGCTATTTTTTGGCCTATGCGTACCCACATTATAATCCATGTGTACGCATGGTAGAAGCATTTTTGCTTCTGTTTCTATAGGCTCAAGCCATGCATACACATGGTTGAATGGCCTGTGTACGCACGGGCAAAACTCAAATTGCCCAATTTTGATTCCAAAATCAATTCATCTCATTTGTGTATTGTTTTATCACATTTCATCTATTTCATTAGACCTAAATATAATCTTGAACAATAATTATAACATATATTTGTGTTTGTGTTTACGTTTTTCTTTTTTGCTTATTATTCTCACGGAGTTAGGTGTTAAGGTGTATGAATTTAGTGGCCATAATCTTTGTAATGAATCTTTTTGAGTTACAAACTCCCATCCCGCGCCATTCTGAATTTATATATGATAAAAATATTAGAATGATTTATTATATGTATAAGCTTTTCAGTACATGCTCACTTTGATATATCCCTAAATTAGGTCGATATATGGGAAAAAGTATACACTTCAATTATTGAAGTGATAAATTTACAAAGAATATCGAGTCTCGTAAGATATTATTGAAGAGATAAAATCATCAACTAGATTATGTATAAGTATAACCATTCTATTAACTAGCATTTAATATTAGATTCATAGATGGCTACTTTTGTTTGATTCACTGAATTGCAATTACGTTTTTGGTTTACGTACCGTGAACTGGTTCTGTTACATCACTATCGCGTGCCTCATCCTTCCTTTTCATCAAATTAATGCAAATCCTCTACTTCTCTATTATTATTATTATTATTTGCATTTTTTCAATTTTAACGAAAAAGGAAAACAAATTTGTTCACTTTAATGGGCAAAATTTTCTTTCTTTTAATAATCGATTTATTGTCCTATAAAAGGCCATAGCATGCTCAGTTTTGCACAAGATATTAAAACAGATTCAGGAAATAAGAAAAACAATGGGAGGAACTATTTTCTCTAGTGCTCCTCCATGCACCACCATGCAGGGCAGCGGGTTACATCCAAATGGCCAACACCACCACCAGCAGCAGCAAGTGACAAAAGATGATCAAAATTTATGTTCTTTTCAAATGCCACTCCACTATCCAAGGTACAAGAAATCGGACTACGCGACTATGCCAGAATGGCAACTCGACTGCTTGCTGAAACAGTATGGATTGCCGGTGACCGGAGACATTGATCAGAAGAGGAAGTATGCCATGGGAGCATTCCTTTGGCCTGATCAGTACGAATAGAACAAATTTTATTACTGTTTAAAGATATGGAAATATTTTCATCGTTGTTTGTGATTCGTATAAGTTTATTTTCATAGTTTGATTGTATAATTAATATCTATCTCTCTTTATAGTTTATATAAGCAAAAGTAATATAGTATAATTATATATATTATTCCTTCCTTGTTTGTCTCTCAATTATATTTTTTATTTATAGTATGCTTGCTTTGCTAAATTTGAAAATAATGGAATATATATTTTGGCAGAGAATTAGTTAACTTAATTCTTTACTAATTTGTCACACTTGTCATTATTCTCGATAAATATGATTAACCAATAACATATATTACTCGAGTTTTACAGTGTTGCTCTTGGACGTATATACAAGTTATATTGATCTAAAATCTTCTCTAACATTATTGTAAATACATATGAAAGGCCATTTGACAGGAAGTTAAAAACTGCTTTCGAGATTAAAAAATTGCTTTTAAATCTTTTTGGATAATTTTCTGAAACTGCTTATGAAATTTAAGAAGTTAATTTTGAACATGCCTTTGAAATTGCTTCTAACAATTTTTTGTATACATGTTATGTTTGGACATTGGGTATTGAATAAATGTCTGCGTCCTTAGTTTAGGCTACGCATTTCATATTATTGTCAAAAACCAGACCAAACGACAACATATCCACTTATGAATCAACTACGACCATATTCGTCTGAAAAACGTTAGTTTCATGATTTAAAGGTTAGTCTTTAGATGAGTTCTTTAGTTAGTTTTTGACACTAGTTTCATTATAGTTTAAATTACTAAAATTCCATGAAATGCTATAAATCTCTATATATTCATAAAACGGCAAGGTTAACTGTCGTAACCTAAATTAAGCCGTGAATACTTGATTGGGATTTATAATTAATAAGAACAGTTATAGCATAGGATTTTATACCACAATTTTCTATGTGAAGGTGGAACACTACTTTCAGTTGGAAATAAGTAGTAAAAATAATCTCAACGGAAAAAAATAATAAAAGTAGAAGGAAAAGAAAAGAAAAATTATCCTCACCAACCCCGAACCCAAGCTGCCCCTTACAATACAGGAGCACCCGAATTCATGTCGACACATCAGTTATTTTAGTAAATGAGAAGATGTTAATTAAGTGCAATGTATCGAGGTACCAACTCAACTCAACTCAATCCGTGTAACGTTAAACGGGGAGTCGGTGGGGGCGGGGAGCATTGGATCAAGGATTTCTACATTTTTATTAATCTTTCAATGAAACTTGATTTTTTAAGACGCAAACCGTCTATCGAACCAACTTGCTACGAAAACTATAGCTACCAATACAATGTCAATAATTAAAGGATGAAGATCGACTTACCATAAAACGGTCATAGATTAGGGATGCCCATTGCAAGCGACATTTTCTAATTAATATAAAGATGAAGCCTCTATTTGGTTTTGCTAAAATCGAATTTTTAATTAATTTTGATAAAAGTTGATGAAACGTGAGGTTGAAAAATTAAAAAAAGTTGTGGGTTCCATAAAATGTGTAGTTAAAATTAATTGTTAACTTTGACTTAATTTCTTATCATTTTTTTTTAACTCATCCAAACACACCTTATAAGATAACTTCCATGGCTTTGTCAGCTTGATTGATTCTAGCATGGATAGGATAAAGTTGTGACGAGTCTAACAAAGTAATTCCATGCATTTGTTTCAAGAAAAAGACAATACTAACAGATATTCAATGATTATTAATTTAGTTTGGCTGCTAAAACTTCATATTCCACATTTATTTTTGCCTTGCTACTGAGGCAATCTTCTGTGATCAGAAATTCTCCTGTACTTGACTATCGGGGAGCCTTCCATTAATGTTACTTACATTATCGGATAAAATGAAAATCCTTTCATTCGTGTTCATATCCAATTAAAATTACAAATTAGAATAAGAAAACTCTTTTCTGCTCGTGTAGCGTAATGAATATTCTTGAAATTCCAAGAGATATGATCCCCTCGATGCTACAAAACTGTTGCATAAATGTTTTTTAGGAGATGAGGATAGAGAATTGTAGGGTAGGGTTGCCATAATTTGGACAAGGTGAACACAACTCAATAGACACTTTACGTAGAGCACCACATTCTAAACCATCTACTACTAAAAGGTCCTCTATGTTCAAACTAGGCC